TCTTGCCTCTACGCCAGTGCCTATACTTGCAATCTCGGAAGGCCGGCTCCCACCTGCATCTCGAATTCAGCCATATGTTCATTATGGAAGTGCCGTATCTGACCCAAACAGCCTGTCGCGAGCTTCGGTTTTTGTTCACTCCACCATTCAACAAGCTGCAGAAGATGTGTCACATCTGTGTACCGAAACAGCAGAGTTCGCGGCTTGCACTGTCATATTTGGTTCTTTTAGGATGACTATTGTATCCGTTTATATATCTCCTGCGGGTCGCTTCGATGCGAAGAGCATTCGAATTTTACGTCGACAGTTCCCCGGTTCTCTGCTTCTATGTGGAGTCTTTAACGCGCATCACCCTTTGTGGGGTAGTGAACGCACGACGCCGCGGGGCACATCTCTTGCAGACGCCATTGAATCTACAGACTTGGTGCTCTTTAATGATGGCTCTCCAACATTTTTCGGCCATCGCGGGAAGCCTAGCGTCCTCGACCTTAGTTTCGCCTCGCCCGATCTTGACGTATATTGGTCGCTGGACATGGACACGCGCGGAAGCGATATCATCTCCCAGTCTTGATGAGTATACCCAGGGTAGGCCGCTTGCCGCGTCGTCTGTACCATGTAACCAATTGGGACCTGTTTCGGAAAAGTCTTCTGTCTCTCGATCCGTCAGAGGATATCCTAAAAGCCATTCCAAGCTGCCTCGTCCAATCTACAATAAAAATCACACTCAGAGTATCGCAACCTAGCCCGGACTTGAAATTTCTTCGTCTTCGGGCAGCTCGCCGTCGTGCCCAGCGCCGTGCGCTCCGCTCTGGCAAGATCGCCGATTGGGTGGAGTGTCGCCGTATAACTTCAGCCTTACGCCGGCACACCCAAATACTTCGTCGCAGACAATTTCGCCAGTTCTGCTCGTCGCTGACCCCATGTACACCGAAGCCGAAGATCTATAAAGTGCTCAGAGGTATGAGTGGATCTCCGACACCTCGAGACGTGTTCGTTGCTCTTAGTTTAAAAACTGGCTTGGCATTATGTCAACTTGCCGACGAATTTGCGATACGCTTTGTCGTTGCTCCACGCTCTGTAAGGTCATCGCGGCCCCTATCGCTGACTGGCCCATCGCGAAGTCCGCAGAATCTAGACCACCCCCTTACCATGTCAGAACTGGAAGCTGCTCTTCGAAGATGCAAGCGTCACAGCGCTCCCGGGCCTGATCACATAACATATCAAGCATTACAAAATCTCAGCTATCAGTCACGCAGCTCCTTACTCGAACGTCTAAATTCAGTTTGGTCGTCGGGTGTGATCCCTCAAGAATGGAAACACGCATTAGTTACACCCCTTTTAAAGCGCGGCAAGCCCTCCTCGGAGTTGTCATCCTATCGCCCGATATCTTTGACATCATGCGTTGGCAAGCTTTTAGAGCGCCTGGTCCTTACACGCCTTCAGTGGTTCCTCGACGATACTGAAGCTCTTCCCCCTGAGCTCGCAGAATTCAGAAACGAACTTTGCACCGCTGACTGCATTGCGACTCTCACGTCAGCATTGGAAGACGCCCGTTCCCAGGGACATACAGGCTTGGCAGTATTTTTAGACGTGGAACGCGCATTTGACTTTGTTCCCCATGATGTTGTTCTTGCGTGCTTGAGACATCTTGGCGTAACGGGAAGGATGTTAAGATATTTCGAAGACTTCCTGAACGGCAGGACTATCAGTGTCCGCCTGGGAACGTTTCAAGGTGCTGATCGCCCACTGCTGCGGGGACTACCTCAAGGTAGCTGTCTAAGCCCGACACTCTTCAACGTCGTAATGGCAACGCTACCACTGTGCATGGACTCATCACCTCATCCTAGTGGTATGATAATTTATGCTGACGACATTTGTTTGTGGGCTTCCCATTCCGATCGCCGTATACTTCGCCCTTTTATGCAAACCTGCCTTAAGCGAGTTGCAAACATGCTGGAAGACCTCGGCCTCTCCATCTCGGCAGAAAAGACGGCTGTGCTCGCATGTTCCCGCCGTCCTCTTCGCCACGGGTTTCCACGTTTAACTTTATCTAGGATCCGATTGCCACGTGTGCGAAACTACCGTTATCTGGGCGTTGATCTCGACTCGCGGCTCTGCTTTCGTCGCCACGTAACTACTCTTGTACGGCAGAGCACGATGACAACCTCTCTTATTCGTAGGCTTCGTGGCCTTGATTGGGGACCAACTCCTCGAGCCCTAACTAACGTGCATCTAGCGCTGAACCTGTCTCGGATTCCTTATGTCGCGCCGTACTTGCCCCCTACTCGCTCTCTGTGGGATCAGCTGGAACGACGTCATCGCGCTGGACTAAGGATGGCCCTAGGACTCCCCTCTTACTCTCGAATAGAGGCAACGTGGATTGAGGCCCAGGAAATGCCAGTATCTTTGCACGCTAAGGAACGGGCTCTTCGCCATCTGGTTCGACTCGCCCAGTCGAGCAGCGGTGGTTCTCTTTACGAGGATATCCAACGGCGGCATTGTTCTCATTATGGAAGACGCTGCAACACTTTGATAGAGGCGCTCGGATCTACACCAGCTGTTCAGCGTTCTCCAGCTGATTCACCGTGGAGTGAGCATCTATTCACCGTATATGATGACATCCCTGGCTTTCATGGAAAATCACAGCATTCCTCGCTGGTCAGCCGCGCCTTGACGGAAGACGTCCTGGCGTCCCGCCACGCTTCATTTAAGATCATATTCACTGATGGCTCTGTTAATCTCATTAACGATTCCGCGTCTGCGGCATACCATGTCCCATCAGAACACCATTCTTGGTCAGGACGGCTTGATCACGCTGTTTCATCGACTACGGCCGAGCTTTGTGGAATTCACGCAGCTCTTCTTTATATCTCGAAAAGGCCACCAGAAAACTGGCTGCTCGCAACGGACTCCCAGTGTGCAGTGCGAAGCATTCGAAGTGGCAGAGGCGTTAATGCCAACATGACTCGTGAGATATTTAACTTGGGACGTCTACTTGTTTTCCGAGGCTGTAACATTCGAGTGCAATGGATACCTTCACATGTTGGCATTCTTGGCAATGAAAAGGCAGATCAACTGGCTTCCAACGCTCTGCTCCTACCTACTGCTACTTTACAGCTTCCGACCCAGACTGACTCAAAAATAGCAATCCAAACCTGGATACAGCAGAGACATCCGGTTTCAAGAATTGCAGCGCATGACCCGCCTCCCCCGGCATGTACGCGGGGCTTAACACGCAAGTTTGCTTCCCTTCTTCACCGTCTTAGATCAGATTCCGCTTATACAAACGTTAACTTGTACCGGGTTGGAAAAGCGGTCAGCCCTAATTGCCAACACTGTGACCAACAAGAGACAATTGAACACATATTTTGTTAAGTGCGAACACTACGCATCCGAACGAATTGAATTCTTGAACTGCCTGAGAGGGCTGGACATTCCTTTCACGCTCGAAGCTACATTATTTCCGAAGGGACCAACTTCCACGTGCATACGGCTGAGAAAATTTGTGTTTTGTTTTTTGGGCGCGTGCGAACTACTCTCAAGACTGTGACTGTGACGTGTAAGAAACTTTAGAACGGTAGCCTATACTTCGTTTCGCCTTATCTGCGGGCGGGGCCGGGGCTGAGAGCGCGGGACCAGCGCTTTTAGCGCTTCTCCCCAGCTCGCGTGCTCGAGCAGAGCCTGAGCGCGCGGAGCTTTCGTGCTCGCGCTTCCAACTTTGCCTTGGCTCGCACGTGGGGTGAAACGAAGTATAGTTAGGTCGATATAGACAATTGCAAGCATGGCGCCACAAGTGGTGCCCCATGCGTGCAAGCGCGTGCAACGCGCGGGTGAACGTAGCTTTGACAAGCTCGTAATCGCACGGGCGTGCCTGCTCGAGCAGAGACATGGCGGCGGCCAGTCGCCCAGCTTGCAATCGTCTATAAGTACTCTGATTATTTATTTTGTGCTTGCCGTTAAGACGAACTGTGACCAAAGTCACAGTTCGTCTTAACGGCCCTAATCATTTTTTTTTCGCCCGCGAAACGTGTTTAGTCATTATTTTGCTAACGCTTCCCTCGTCACCCCCGACCCCTTCATCACCATATTTTCCCTTCCCTCTCCCCGCATTCACCCTCATCAACCTACAATAACCCAGGCCCGTGAAACGTGCCCACCGTGAGTGAGGCAAATGTCACGTCTGGCAAACAATACAACCAACCAACCAACCAACCAACCTATACCAAACCACTATTCGCAAAGTTCAAAGCCATCGAAGACATTTACATTGCGTGGTGACTCTGAGAATCCTAAAGCCCATGCGGTACTCGGAACTCGCTAGACTGAGGCCAGCTTCCGCTGAACATTTCAACAACCTCAAAAATAATTCTTTTCATCACCTTTTTTTTTTTTTTTTTTTTTGCTGATTGTTGTCGTTTTTTATGTTATGAATATCAAAAGTGCAGACATTCAGACCTTCAATTGCCTTGTGATTGATAGAGAACTCTTTCTCTTTTATAAGAAACAGTGAATAAACGAAAGCAAGTATCCAGATAATAGCACTCTGTGGGTCTGGTCAATAGTCGCGCGCCAAAATGTTTTTTTCGGATTAGCTTAGAATTAATCAATGACTCTTTTTTTACGATGTGTCCCTTACGGGAGACAAAATAAACATAAACAAACGCTGGTTGCGCAAACGGCAGCAAAGCCCTAGTTACGCGCATGCTGACACATGAGCGAATAAGCAAAACCGTACGTTATTCTCTTTTTGGTGGCACTTATTCGGAGCCGAAAGCAAGATTCCTAACCGTACCCTTGCGTACATGCAATTCTCTTCAATTCGCGCTGTAAATGGCACTCTCTACGCTGTTGAAAATGTTTGCTCGGAAAGGCAAGATGCCGACAAATAAACTGACATCACTTCGAACGTCGTAATGCCACAGTTCCACTTAGCACAACCGACGATTGCGAGAAAAAAAAAAAAAAAAAAAAATCTCGCATCGCTTTTGGGAAATTTGCAGTCCGGACGGGTGATTCCGATGCCCGTTCCTGCGAGTTTCAACGACATCACCCAGAACGCGACCCTGAGGGACTACGTGGGCTGGGCCTGGTACCAGACAGAGTTCTTCGCGCCGAGCGGCTGGTTGAATGGCGAGGGCCGCGTGTTCCTGAGGTTCGGGAGCGTCCACTACACGGCCGTGGTCTACCTCAACAACCAGCAAGTCGCCAAGCACGTGGGCGGACACCTGCCCTTCGGCGCTGAGGTGGGTGCATTGCGGTAGCACTTGACGTCAAACTTCTTGCACGTACGAGATGATTCTACGGACGAGAACGTCCCTATAATCATGTGTGCCGTTATAGTCGTTGGAGACTTTTAGCAAACCGTTACCGTGTCCTGCGTACCGCACCACCGGAGCCTTTGAAGCACGCTTTTGAGCGCGCGCCCCGCGGTCACGGTATCACCCGGTCGCGCGCCTACAAGCAGGCTTCAAAGGATCCGGTATAGTGGGGTACGCGGATTACAGTAACCGTTTGCTAAAAGTCTCTATTTACAAGGTTAAAATACGGAGGAACTTCGATTGTCCCAACCCCGGCACGAGCCTCCAACCTTCGACAGCGCTTCCGCGTCTCGTGCACTCCGAGCGTACCCGCGCATTCAAAGCACTGCGGAAGGCCAGGCATTCGAAAGACGGGCCCTGCCGTTCTCACTCCGTCAGTGACCATATACGGATGGAAAGTGAGGGAGAGGAGGAAATGGAGTGCGCGAAGGGACGTCAGTACGCCGAGCTTTGATTGGAAATATTAATGAGTATAAACCCAAAGCAAGCTGCCTTTTTCTCTATACTGACTGTTCGGACAGTGCGTATAGGGACAAAAGCAGCTTTGCGTCTGCCACTATAATCATCCCAACCAGTGCTCTGCGCTCTGACGTCCCCGCGTGCTCTCGTCTCCTCCTCTCCCTCGGTTTCTATCATTAGAGCGGAAGTTTTCTGGTTGCTCGGGCGCCTGCACCTTTTCGTGTGATGGACTTCCCAGTCCAGCTGCCAGCACACGGAACCGCTTGCAGATGTTGGAACTTAGAGGATCTTATTACGTATCATGGGGGATTCGTGAACCATTGTGTATCCCGAGGGCCTCAGAAAGAGAATGTACTCGCTGTAATAGAAGAGTCCGGTTGCTCGTGCATGGTCCTCCGTATTTTTGTGTACTAGACGAGTTAGTATTTCAGGGTGAAGTGCAGTTTGAAACCGTAAACCCGGGGTTACACTGCTCGCATATCATACGAAATTCAGTCTGAAAATACGAGTCACCGCAATATCCATGGTTCGAACACGGCGCATCAAGTTTCGCCTTGAACTCATTGTCATGCGGCAGTCGAAGCACGGATCTCGCGTTGAGTCGCATTCGAGTCTGTACACAGGCTATCTTTTGTATGATGTACACAGGGTTTCCGAGAAACGATAACCGTGTTCTCCGGTCCGGGTAAATAAGCTATGCATTGCAGAAAGCTCAAACTTCGTGAGAATCTGACGCTAGCGGGGGATAGAACGCGAACATTTGAGAACATGAAGTTACCTCGATCAAAACATAAATTAGAAAAACAAAATTTCTCTAAGATCCTACGTCCACCTAAGCCTAATATCGATAGAACAAGAAATGACACGGTGGGAGCATGTAGCATCTATTTCAGTGAGAAAAAAATAAATGCTCAGCAAGAAAGAGCTGACATTGTTTTCTTTCTTGCAAACAAGTATTTTTTTTTCACTAACATAGATATTACAGGCACCCACAGTTTCATTTCTTGTTTTGACCATATTAGGCTTAGGTGGACGTCGGCTCATAGTAAAATTTTTATAAAGTAGTGAGTGCGCAGGCGAGCTGGTGGATGTTAACCATTTTGTTCTTAGCCCGAGACTGAGGCTCGGGCTAAGAACAAAATGAGTAAAATTTTGTTTTTCTTGATTATATTTGCATCCAAGTGACGTCACGTTCTCAAACTTCTGCGTTCTATACCCAACCTCCACCGTCACATTCTCACGAAGTTTGAGCTTTCCGCGATGAATAGATTTTTTTTTTTTTTTTTTTTTGTATAAGTTTATTTGAGACAGAACTTACAGAATGTCTCGGGGGACATGGCTAAAGGCACTTTGAAGTGCCTGACGAGGCCACGCCGCCCTTTTTGGCAACAGCGGTAGCAAAACAAAACAAGAGTGACATGCTTTCACTGCTATACAATAAAAAACAAACAGAAAAGAAGACAAATAACAAACAACCAGGGGTGTGCGAACACAGGTGGGCCAATTATCTATAATATTGCATTTTGCTACAACAGGTCAAAAAAAAAAAAAAACATTTTTGTGCTATTACATGCATTTATCATTCAAGAAGTTTAGGACATATTTTTCGTTGTTTTATTCATCCGTAAATAAAATTCCTTTCACACTTTTCTTATAACTAAGGAGTGACCTGGCGCTATTTAGAAAGTCTAAAATAGTTGGGTGTTTGTTCAAAAAATCTGGTATCTGAAAACTTAGCTTCTGATCTCCATAATTTGTCCGTGAACGAGATTTCATTATTACATTCTTTCTTAAATTGTACGGCCCAATTTTCACGGGGTACTTTGTATGGAACAGCCATTTGTCAGCATGAAATTGCCGCCAAATCTCGAGGGACAGTTTATATTTGTGTAGATCTCTTAAGTTTAATATTTGGTATGTTCTAAAGTATGGTGTGGCATTCCTAAAAAAATTTATGTTTCCAATTGCTCGTAATGCTCGCTTTTGTATAGATAAGAGACGATCTAAGTTTGTTTGGGACGTACTTGACCACACTAATAGACAATAACTTATACGGGAGTGTATGAGGGCGAAATAAATTTGACGTTTAGCTTTTTGGGGGAGATAATACCTTAATCTATTCGAAAGACCAACAGCTCGACAAAGATTTCCTATGATCGAATCAATATGGGGTGCCCATGATAAGTTTTCGTGGAATACAACTCCCAAGAAACGAATAGTTGAAGACTGCTGAATGAAAGAGTCCTGGAATTCTAATTTAAAATTTGACGGTAATGTCATTCCTTTCGGTTTAAATAGTAAGTACTTAGTTTTGTCTACGTTTAAATAAAGTTTATTTGATTTAAGCCACATGTCTAACCCCCTTAACCATTCGTTTGCCCTACCAAAGAGATCGTGTATGTCTACACCGGAGAAGAAAATATTGGTATCATCTGCATATAATACTATATTTGAACTACCATGTATGTTTACAATGTCATTGATATATACCAAAAATAGTATAGGTCCAAGAATAGATCCCTGGGGAACTCCATATCTGATGCGTTGAAAGTCTGACTTCACTCCGTTTATGGTTACATACTGAGTTCTGGACGCGAGATAGTTTTTAAATAATAATAACGCAACACCACGGACTCCATACAACTGAAGTTTCTTTAAGAGTATGTCATGTTGAACGCAATCGAATGCTTTTCTAAGGTCAAGGAATATGCCTAGCGTGTATACTTTTTGTTCTATGTTCTCAAGGATTTGTTCTTTTATTCCAAGCAGTGCAACTTCTGGTGACTTATTTTTCTGAAAACCGAATTGCTCCTTTACTAGAATATTATTTGAGGTCAAAAATTTAACAAGTCGTTTATTTATAATATTTTCAGCTAGCTTCGAAAAAACTGAAAGCACAGAAATAGGTCTATAGTTGTTTAAATCATTAACTGGTCCACCTTTGTGTATAACAGCCACACGTGCATGTTTCATTTTGTCCGGGAAGACGCCTGTAGATAGAATGAGGTTACAAACGTGAGCCAATGGAAAGCTGATTTCTTCACAAACGGCCTTTAAAGGTCTAGGCTTGATGTCATCAGTACCGGAAGCGCAGTCATCTTTTAGTGCCCTAATTAGGTCTATAATTTCACACTGATCAGTCGGATATAAGAAAAGAGAATCTAGGCAATTTGTCCTTATGAACTGTTCACATGGTAAATCTACGCGGTCATTTGAAGGAGCACCAGCAGTAACAAAGTGGGCGTTAAACCGGTTTGCTATCTGCTCTTCCGATAGCGCCTCATCGTAAAATGGCACTTTTCTAGGCGAGACGTTTTTAGAAGTTAACTCGTTTACTGTTTCCCACATCAAGCGGGGATTCCCCATAACTTCCGAAAACTTTTGCATGTAGTATTCACATTTTGCTTTTTTAATATCAGTGTTTAGTTTATTCCGTACTTTTTTAAACATGCGAAGGTCAGTTTCACTCCTTGTTTTTAAAAATATCTGATACAGCTTGTTCCGGTTTTTAATCCTTTGATATAATTCGCTAGATATCCATGGCTTGCGAGTTTTCTTATGTTTTTTTCGCACCTTTAAGGGAAAAAACGTGTTATACGCGGAAATAAAATGGGATAGAAAAACGTCATATGCCCTGTCTGCATCGTTTTCTCTCAAAACAATACTCCAATCTTGACACGAGATAAAATCCTTAAACCGCTGAATATTTCGTTTAGAACAATCCCTGAATAACGCTTCTTGTTTATAGCCGCGTGGCTGCTTACAAGGCAGAAGACAGTATATTGGTAAATGGTCACTTAGATCGCACATCAATGTGCCTGATCTCAAATCATCAGAAGGAAGATTTGTTATACAAAGGTCAAGAGTGGTTTCTGTTGTCGAAGTAATCCTAGTTGGTACATTTATTGTGTTTGTGCAGCCATACGATTCAAATATTTCTTGTAAACGCGTGTAAGATACATTGTCCGTGCCAGCATTAATGTTTAGATCTCCAACCAAGACAGCTTGTAACTTCATCGATACGCTTTGATCAAGTAACGTTTCTGAAAAATGAAGGAAATCACTCACGGATCCTGATGGAGGGCGGTACAAAAGAGCAAACAAGATGTCACAGCATTGTAATGCAATGCACTCAAAGTTGTCATCTACAATTTCGTATTCGGAAATTATGTTATATGAGAGCTCTGAACGAATATAAATGGCAACCCCACCACCACTCTTGAGCGGCATGCAGACACACAATCGTAGCCATCTAGCGCAACACAATCATCAGATAAGAACCACGTCTCACTAAAACAGATAATGTCAAAATGATGGTTGAGTTCGGATAAGAACAAGTTCACCTCATCGATTTTATTTCGTAAGCTTCTGGCGTTTAAGTGAAAAAGTGAAAGGTACGGCCTTTTCAAAGATGCAATGTCACGAGAAAAGTTTGACATAGAAGGTAACAGTGTTCAAATGATACG